TGAGGGTTGATGGGGGGGGAGGGGAGGGAGGGGAGGGTGGGTGATGGGCGTTGAGGAGGGCACCTATTGGGATGAGCACTGGGTGTTGTATGGAAACCAATTTGACAATAAATTTCATATTAAAAAATAATAAATAAAATGGGCTGACAAGTAGGCATTTAAAAAACCAGAAGTTGCATGCAAGTAGGGAAAAATGCATCGACATTGCATTAATTGCACAAGCCACACTTTTCCTAAAGGCAGAAGGCAGTGATACATCATCAAGGATGTGTGAAGAGATGATAGGCCTGTATCAAACCAGTGATTTCATCTAGCTCAGGGGTGCCTGGGTGGCTCAGCGAGTGGAACAGGAGACTCTTGACGTCGGGGTTGTGAGTTCAAGCCCCGTTGCGGGTAGAGATTACTTAAAAATAAAAATAAAATAAAATATTTTTTTTCAACGTTTATTTATTTTTGGGACAGAGAGAGACAGAGCATGAACGGGGGAGGGGCAGAGAGAGAGGGAGACACAGAATCAGAAACAGGCTCCAAGCTCTGAGCCATCAGCCCAGAGCCCGACGCGGGGCTCGAACTCACGGACCACGAGATCGTGACCTGGCTGAAGTCGGACGCTTAACCGACTGCGCCACCCAGGCGCCCCTTGCATCAACTCTTGATATCGGCTCGGGTCATCATCTCATGGTTTGTGGGTCCTGCGTCCAAGCCCTTCTTGGGATTCTCTCCTCCTTCTCTGCCCCTCCACTGCTCATGCACTCTCTCTCAGAATAAAGTCAACCTCAAATTTATCTTAATAATGGATTTTATGATTCTCTTCGAGTCCTAATATGTGATCCTGTATATGTCAGATAAAGATATATAAATATAGATGTAGATGTATAGATACAAAGCTATGCATGAACATAAAATAGAATACTTAGCCACAATACGTAGTAAATGTTTTATGTATAGTGTGCCGTTCAATTTAGCAACCAAAGGAAACTATCATACCCTTGGTTCTCTGTGAATTCTGGATTTGCCCCTGACCTTTCAGCCAGCTTATCTAGAAGCTAGAGACCAAGTTCTCACAGTACTGCTGTTGTTGATGCTATATTTATACTATTTACTGGATCGTTATGCTTTATTTCATGCTTAGCATCTATTTGTTGAGCGTTTGCATTATGTGTTCAGCTAAGCATTTGATATGTGAGATATATGTATTTTTAAAATTTTTTTAAGTTTATTTTTAGAGAACGAGAGAGACAGAGTGTGAGTGGGGGAGGGGCAGAGAGGGAGACAGAATCAGAAGCAGGCTCTGGGCTCGGAGCTGTCAGCACAGAGCCCCACACAGGGCTCGAATCCACGAACTGTGAGATCATGACCTGAGAGGAAGTCAGGAGTTGGATGCTTGACTGACTGAGCCCCCCAGGCACCCCTCTTATAAGCATTTTTGAAATTCATTCTTCTGTGACCACCAGGTGTAGATTTTTCCTGCTCGTCCTGAGGAACACTACCGGTCTGAGAGGTTTTTCATCTTTAATCGTGTGAAATTTATCTTTACGATTTCTTACAAACATCTCCTTCTCCCCCTTCTCGTTTTCTCCTGGAGTTGGCCTTGGATTCTTCATACTTTCTTGCTTCTGGAAGAGACTGCAATGTTTTTGTTCCTTTTCTTAATTTGTTTCTCTGTTGTGTCCGTTCTGCCCTATGTCCCGCCTGGCATGTTCTTTAGTTCAGCTATTATATATTTTTCTTAATGAATATTCGCTGCATTTAAAAGATGTTTAATTATTTCATCTTGCAGATTGCTTTTCTTATGGGTATTTCTATTTCTTGGATGACAGTTCTAATAGCCCTGTTTCTGAAAGTATCTGAAACCAGCTTTTCTATTCTCCATCGATTTTGCTTAACAGGCTGGCTCCTTATTGGGCCCCATGAGTTAGAATTCTTTGGGATTGGATAATCTCTCAGTTCCGGGTAATTTGGTTTCAGGTGAAAGCTCAACAATGGCTGGAGATGTGGTTGGTTGTCACAACCAGGGAGAGAGTGCTGCTGCTATCTTGTGTGTTGAGTTGGGGGGGGACGCTGTTGAACATCCTGTAACGCAAGGGATGGCCCCACAAAGAGAATGATCCCAACAGAAACGTCAGTGGTGCAGAGATTGAGAAATCCTGGGATGGGGGTATCGACTGTAGCTGATTAACCTGGCAAAGTCTAGTAAGCCAGAGGCTAACCTGTTCTAGCTCCAATGCCCTCAAGGAGAGGAGATTAATCTACAGTTAACGCTGCCTTTGGTATAATCCTACCAAGTAAAACCTCAGATCAGGGTCACAAAATTAAGCCCCGCCCCTCCACCATGGGGGAAACCAGCACTGGGAGAAAGCCCTCCCCATATGTGAGGTTCAAAATAGAATCACCAGGAACGAGACCACCCACAGCTTTGTCCCACCCTCCCATCCCTTGGTGGATTGATTTGGTCTAGGGTGGGGCTTAGACAGGATGTTTTCAAAGCACCCAGGTGATAGGGAATATTACTCAGCCTTAAAAGGAAGAGAATCCCATCACAGGCTGCAACACCATGAGTAAGCTAAAGGAAGTAATCCAGACACAAGCTGATTCAATTCAGCAAGCAGGACCCTGGTTGCCAGGGGCTGGGCAAGGGTCCTGGGGAGTGGTTGTTTAATGGCAGAATTTCACTCTTGAAGGAAGAAAAGCACTCTGTGGATGGTGGGGCTGGCTGCACAATGGTGTGAATGCCTTTAACGCCACAAAACTGTACCCCTTACATGTGGATACGATGGTAAATTTCATGGTACGTGTATTTCACCACAATTTAAAAAAGTTTTAATTAAAACTTTTTTTTCAGGTACCCAGCTTAGGGCTCGAACTCACAACCCCGAGATCAAGGGTCGCGTGCTGCACCGACTGAGCCAGCAGGGCGCCCCTTGATTAGATATCTTTAAGAAGATACTTGTTTGGGGAACTTGACTAAGGAGGGACCACGGCTGGATGTGTGTCCACCTCCCTCCGACTTACTCAGGTGTGTCCCTCACCTGCCGTCTGTGCACCAGCAACATCTCTGCTCATCAGGACTCCTTTGTCACCAGGACATCTGGAGGGAGATATGCACCTGCAAGGAAAGCCCTCTCCCTCTTTGAGAGCCCACCCCTCCCCTCCCCCTCTACAGACAGCCTCCCAGGTGAAGACCCGTCCAGTGAGTGGCCCTCGGAGGCCACAGCCCTCCAGCCTGGGGGGGGGGGGGGGGGACACAGCAGAGCTGTGCTGAGAGGCTGAGCAGAGCAGTCTCCTCTGGCATGAGCCCTTGCCTTCCCGAGCTGGAGAGAAGAGGAGCAAGGAGTGACGCTGTCTAGGGATGGGTCTCCGACCCCACAGCCGCTCGGGGACAGCGACCTTCATCCTGGACAGCCGGGTGTTGATGGCACTCTGGGAATGAAGCTGTGCCTCCTTAGGGTTGTCAGTGGTGGAAAATTCGGGATGCCCGGCTGAATGGGAATTTCAGGTAAGCCATGAATAATTTTCAGCAGAAGTATGTCCCTTGCAATGGGGATTATCCGAGTATATAATCTATTGCATGCAATACGAGCCCATGTGCTCAACATTAGGACAAGCCCTCTGCGGGGTTCCGAGCCCCTGTCAGTGTGGGTAAAACCCCAGCACCTGGGCAGGACCCCTACCCTTTCTCTCTCACCTTAGAGCTCACAGACTTACCACTCTCTGCCTTGGGGCCATCAGGTCTCATCTCAATCTATCCTTTACTTGTGTTTTTATCTGGTTCCCGAACAAGGCTCATTGTCCCCTGGCCACCCCTCAGCCCCCGGGCCCTAGACGAACCTGACTCCGGGTATCGCCTATTGTCCCCCACTTCCTGAAGCGTCTTCTCCGAGGAGAACCCTTCACCCTCAGCCTCCTCTCTGAATGTCCTTCAGGGCTCTCACCCAACGGGTCCCTGTGCTACTGTCCCCACACCGCCTCTGTCCCCCCCTTTCTGGGGTTTCCCCCCCCCCCCCCCCCCCGTGAGATCTTTGAAGGCAGGGCCTGTGTGCCTTTTTCGTGCCTGGGGCTTGAGACTGTCTCTTGATTCTGCAATTTAAAGTTGCTAAGGGCTTACACTGAGATTTCTGATAGTGCATTGCATCCGGCCAGAGATCCAGGAATCCCGTGTGAGTGATCCCAGCCACGGGGCGCTGCTGAGGAAGGGGCGAATTCAAAGGACAACAGCGACTCAGACGTGCGACCGACCGCCTACCTCCGCCTCTTCCTTTATGTTGTGTTCTTACGGGGGCACGTGCCCCCAGCTCAAGAGGACCGTTCCCCACCTCCCACAGGACTCAGAAGAGCCACGCACAGGTGTGTGAGCCAACACGACAGGTGCTGTGCAGGGACTTTTCTTTAAAAGAAGTGGGTGGGCCGGGACGCCTGGGTGGCTCAGTCGGTTAAGCGCCAACTTCGGCTCGGGTCGTGATCTCACGGTTCGTGGGTTCCAGCCCCACATCAGGCTCTGTGCTGACAGCCTGGAGCCTGCTTGGGATTCTGTGTCTCCCTCTCTCTTTGCCCCTCCCCCGCTCACACTCTGTTTCTCTCTCCTTCAAAAATAAACAAACATGAAAAGAAGCGGGTGGGCCAGGGCGCCTGGGTGGCTCAGTTGGTTGAGCATAGGACTCCTGATTTTGGCTCAGGTCATGACCCTGGGGTTCATGAGGGGATTGAGCCCCACATCGTACTCTGCGCTAGGCACGGAGCCTGCTTGGGACTCTCTCTTACTTCTCTCTCTCTTTCTGTCTCTGCAACCCCCACCTCATATGGGCTCTCTCTAAAAAAACAAAACCAAACCAAAAAACGCACCAAAATGAAAACAAATGAAAGAATACAATCACTTTACACGGACTACGGAAATATTCCCTGATTACATTAACCAAATGGTTCCAGAATTATTCTTGAGCTTGTTAACAATGCCCAGGAAAAATCAGTGAAACCCGAGACAGTCTGGGAACTTTTGAGGGAAATTCTGCCAACACTCCAAATTTTCTACATAGGATTTGGGGACTTAATTTCAAGATCCTAGTCTCAGTGGAGGGAGCTAGAGGGGGGCTCAGGAGGAGCTGGAGAGAAGGATGCAGAGGAGAGGTGTGGAGCCATCTAAGACTGCAGGACCTCTCCCTCCCTGGGAGCTTTCTTGCTGAGCTCGCCCGGGTCTGTGGGAGAGAAAGAGGCAAATTTTGAATAGTTCTGTTCACTGCCATCACCCAAACCAGGTCCTCGAGGCTGGGGATGAGGAGTTTGGCTGCGGTTCGTTCCATATCCCATCGCCTTCCCTGTTCGCTGTCCCTCCTCTCTTGGCATCTACCCACAGATTTCGCTTTTCCTCCCCATTTAAGATGGCACGTGATGGTGGCGGGTGTTTTCGAGAGCCAGAGGGCTGCGAAGGTTGGCGTGGGGCTTAGAGGGTTGAGGAGGTCTGTCACGAGCAATGTCGGTAAGATGCGCAATCAGCGCTTTCCAGAGGGGCTAGCACAGCTGGGATGAAGGTATGCTGTTCGTTTCCAGAAACAGGGCTGGGGTTGAAGGAACGGGGGCGAAGTCCAGCCGGAGGAAGGCAGGAGAAAGCGGACCTTGATCGTTGACTTGGGTCGTGGTTGGGTGGGAAGCCAGCACTTGGATAATTTAATCCATTCCTTTAACAAGTATCTTCCAAGAGCCTACCCCGTATCATCCATCATCGTCCCCTGCACTAGGCAGCGAGCAAGACAGAGAAGGTCCCTGCTCACGTGGAGCTTAGATTTTATCGGGAGATGACAGAGAACAAGCAGAGAAATGTGCAAACCAAAGACGAGGTGCATCCTGGCAAACGTTACTATGAAAATAAGAGAAGATGACAAAAATGGAGGGAAGGTAGGTTTACGTCAGATACAAAGGTCAGGGGCAGGCCCTACGGTGGAGGAGTTGGCTCAAACGGTGTCTGCGAGAGGCGAAGGACGCAGCCATGCAAAGCTCTAGAGACAGAACATTCCAGACTGAGGCAGCAGCTGGGGCAAAGGTCCTCGAGGGAAATGGACCCTGTGTTCTGAGGAAACCGGGATTCAGAACGGGAGTCGAAGGACACGCCTGATCATGAATGCAGATGAGCACAGGGTCCAGAGGGAGTTGAAAGGTCGGAAATAAAGATCTTACTCCAGACACAGGTCAGAGCCAGAGGTGACCCATGGGGTCCAAGTGAGGGCTTGAGGTGAGTGTTGCAGCAAAGGCCTGGGGGTGGTTTTAGGGCAGATCAAAGTTTGGGAGTGGGGTCATGCCTGGAAAAGCGCCAGGTTGTGGGGAAATATCTGGGGTTGGCTGGGAAATTCGTGTTGGGCCGAGAGGCAGGGAGGGAGGCGAAGGAGCACAGAGGGAGGGAACCGTCATGGCCGCGATGGGTGTTCAGAGTTGACCCTCAAAGCTCCTTTGGCCATTTCTCCTGTCCCTGTCTCCTGTCCCCGTCTGTGTCTCTTTCTCTCCTTCGTATCTCCCATGCTTACCTGCCGTCTCTGGTTTGGCCAAGGTCTCCCTCGGACTCCTCTTGGTGGCCTGCTGAGGGTGGGGATTGGGGAACCCGTCTAGGAACAAAACCAGTTCAGGGCTTTGTACCAAGTGACTTATTTCCTGGGAATTTCCTGCAGCTCTCTTATTCCCTGGGAATCTCTCGGTACCTTGGGGTACCCGTTCAGGGTCATTTTCTCCAGCCCGGGGATACTTGGGAATGTGTGGGGACACCTGTGGCCCGAACACCGAACCATCGGCACCAAATACCAACAGGGCCACCAGCGAGGAACCAGCCCTTGATATGCCTCTATGGCCTGGCAGGTGACAACAATGAGACTCAGTTCAGGTCACACGCTGCGTTCACAGTGTGCCTGTCCAGGTGTCTGAACCCCCGTGCACACCCTTCAGATGAGGGTGGGGCAGAGCGGGGAGTCTCAGAGACGGGACGCGGCCCAGCGAGCAGACGAGGTAACAGCACCAGGGATGTGCAAGGACAAAGTGAATGTGGATCTTGCAGGGAGAGAATATTAAAAATGGCAACCATAGGGGCCCCCCGGCTGGCTCAGTCGGTTAAGCGTCCGACTCTTGGTTTCGGCTCAGGTTATGATCTCATGGTTCGTGATACCGAACCCCGAATCAAGCTCCACACTGACAGTGTGGAGCCTGCCTGGGATTCTCTCTCTTCCTCTCTCTCTCTGCCCCTCTCCCCCACTCTCTCTCTCTCTCTCAAAAATATTTAAAACAAATAAATAAAAATTTAAAAATAGATAGATAATTAAACCAACGTGGCAACTGTGACTCCTTTAGTCTCCATCACATCCCAGACTGTTACCTGCCTTCTGTCGGCGAGCCACACAACAGAGCCGTTGGGCCTTTCCACGGATACGTTCTGCAGGTGGACGTATTTGAGGCTGGAAAGAATCGCCCTTCCCTGAGCTCCCCCAACCAGTAAGTGGCAGAGCGAGGGACGGAGCCCACACCTGCCAGTTTCCAAAGCCAGCCGCGGGCAGGCAAGGGGGGTGGTGGAGACCAATGCCCCACGCGCTCACCATGGCCTTCCACAGGTCCGGGACCTCCAGGGCTGTCTTCTTCCCGCTGCTGCGGTCCCTGCTCTGAAGAAGGTGGAGCTCGGGGGGGGGGGGGGGGGGGGAGAACAGGACCCATGGATCTGTGAAATGGCAACGTAACGGGGAATCCAGCAATCCTGTTAGGTTACTCCCTTGATGGAGCACCGCCACCAAATCTCGGGACGGCGTGCATTTGGCAGGTGAGAAGTGGAGATGGCTGCCTGGAGTTACTACACCGCTAAGTGGCAGAACTGGGTTCTGAACCCGCCTGTGTCTGGATCCAAACCTCAAGTCCTTCCTGCTTTCATACGGTCCTGGGAGCCTGGGTTTTCCTGGACCACTGAGCGGCCCTGCCTTGAGCATCACAGGGACGTGGCGGCTGGAATTGTCCCCGAGCCCCGTACACAAGTGCACGGTGAGGAAGAACCAGGGGAGACGGGGAGCCAGTGATGGAGGAACATAAGTATGCGCTGGGGATTGTTCCCGTTCGTCTAATCCGCACAACGTCCGCGTGAGGCAGGGGACCAGCACGACGCCCACTGTCACAGGTGAGGAAACCAAGGCGTCCAGAGAATTAGGCGGGGATGTGAACACAGTGCCCGTGGCCCACACGCCCATCCCTCTGCTACACTAACTCTTGAGACGGGTCTGGAAATAAAACCCGTGGACCCCAGTGAATGTGAGTCGAGGGTCTTCCCGGGCTCACTGAGCCTGGCCGCTGGCGGGGGCAGCCCTCAGCAGGCTCACTCACCGGGACCCAGGAGGTAGCCGGCACTGTTGAGGGTCCAGCCTCCTCGGCCCTAGACAGAGACGGAGAGAGCGAGACTCAGACGGGCAGAAAGGGTGGCAGGCAGCCCTCAGCCCTGGGGTCACATGCACCAGCCGCCACGGTCCCGCGAGCCTGGCAAGTGGGTTCACGGAACCCACATTTCACGAGCGTGGAAATCGGAGGCTTCCTGAAGCACAGCAACTCGGAATGGGAAGGGGCTTTAAAGAGCACTGCCGTGGGGCGCCTGAGTGGCTCAGTCGGTTAAGCGTCCGACTTCGGCTCAGGTCACGATCTCGCGGTTGGTGAGTTTGACCCCCGCGTCGGGCTCTGTGCTGACTGCTCAGAGCCTGGAGCCTGTTTCAGATTCTGTGTCTCCCTCTCTCTCTGACCCTCCCCCGTTCATGCTCTGTCTCTCTCTGTCTCAAAAATAAATAAATGTTAAAAAAAAAATTAAAAAAAAAAAAGAGCACTGCCGTAAACCTTTCCACGCCATCACAAACCGCACAACACGCGCGTGTGCGCACGAGTGCGGGATCGAACCAGGCTGCGTCGCTGGGTGGTTTTAGCCACGTTGCTGCGTCCCTCTGATAATTACAACGGCCGACATTAATTGTGGGTTTACTACCTGCCAGCGTCCGTTCCAAGCAGGACTGGACACACGATTTAGGGGGCTCAGAACAACGTGAAAACATGGGGCCCTCTTGCTCAGAGGCGATTAAGGGTTTTGAGACGGCCGCAGCGAGCGTGGGCGCCTCCTGGGGGGCGCACGCCCACATCCCACCCTGGTTCCAAGCCCTTGACGTGGTTACCACCTGGTGCCCACGACGCCCCGAGTCAGGCTGAAACTCTGGTTTGCTTCATTTAGTGAAACTTGCATTAAGAGGTCTGCCAGCTTGCTTAAATCAAGCCAGGAAGCAGCTAGAGCTGGCCCGCAAACCCAGGCGGATTTCAGACTTCACGGCCACGTGTACACAATACTCACGCCTCTGTTTTCCCTCCTGCAAAGTGGGGAGTCACGAGGCCCAATTGCCGGATGGAAGTGGTGTAGCCCGGGTTCCCGGGGCCGGGAGAACACGCACACCCACCGACCCTCATCAGACCTGCCTGGCACCTCGGTCAGAGGGTCACCGTCGGCCCCCTCGTGACACAAGAGCCAGGGACGCTCCAAGACACTGGAGCGCCAAGCCTGGGCCCTCTGGACTGGGCAGTGCACTAGCTAATGAGCCTGAGACCCAGGAGCTCAGTTAGCCCTCGAGGTGCTGGGATCTCACAAAGCACTTGGGGGACAGAGATCAACTAGGCACCTTGTCAGGAGGTGTGCAGCTAAAAGGAGAGAGCCAGGATTCCAAACTCCACGGGGGTCTCTGGTCTCCGCAGCCCCTACTCCCAGTCAGGACCCGGACCAGGGGCCGGCATCAGGCTCCTCAAGAAACCAGAGGGGCGGGACGCAGCCCCTGCTGACAACTTGGAATGGCAGGGAGCTGTGCCTTTGAAGGCATCTTTTTGTACCTCTGGGCCATGCTAATCCTCTGGACGTTTGTGCTTCCTGACCTCTGGGTCGTGGGTTCGACAGATCCCCCACCCAGGGCCAAGGACCCCCCACAGCCCGTGGCTCGTGGCTGGGCTGGGAAAATTAGAAAACTCTTCTAGGAGGGCAGTGACGGGGGTGGGGGTGCCGTAGGTGCAGACGGCTGCCGCGGGGTCCCACCTGGTGGACGGGTGCGGAGGCGGGGGTCACCGCCAGGCTGAGCAAGACGGCCAGGAGGAGGACCAGACAGACAGAGGGAGCCATCTGAGGGCTGGAAGGGTGGGCGCTCGGACCTCCAGGACACTGTCGAGAGAGTGGTGAGTGTATTTGTTCACTTCTAGTTTCATTAGTATAATTGCTGTTCAAGAAATTTCGTGTCTTTGGGGCGCCTGGGTGGCTCAGTGGGTTAAACGTCCGACTTCAGCTCAGGTCATGATCTCACGGTTCGTGAGCTTGAGCCCCGCGTGGGGCTCTGTGCTGACAGCTCGGAGCCTGGAGCCCGCTTCGGATTCTGTGTCTCCCTCTCTCTCTGCCCCTCCCCTGCTCATGCTCTGTCTCTCTCTCTCAAAAATAAGTAAACATTAAAAAAAATTTTAATTAAAAAAAATTCCCTGCCTTTAACATGTACATCCGGAGGAATTCGTACACAGGAATACACCCAAGATATGCGGGAGTCATATCCATCACCCTCAAAAATCTCCTAGCATTTTTTTGATTGTTTCAGTTTCTTGTTTGTTTCGTTAACACGAGATCTGTCCCGACATACTTTTTTTTCTCTCAGTCTTACTGAGATACAACGGACATCCAGCACCGTGAGTAAGGTATGCAGATAGCGGCTTCACACATATACACGGCCAAGAGGGTCACCTTGTAAGTCTGGTTAACAGCATCTGGTACTTCGTACAGGTGGGAAAAAATGATGTTCCCTTCGTGGTGAGAATTTTCAGCATCTACTCTCTCTCTCTCTGGGCACCTTTCAAATACACCACACGGCAGCGTCCACGACAGCCGGGAGCCATCCATCACATCCCCAGGACTACGGGTCCTACACGGGGTCCTACACGGGCCCCAGCCCCGCCTCTGGTGAGCCACCCATCTGATCTCTTTCCCTGAGTGGGTTTGGGTGTTTTTCTCACAGTCCACACATAAGTGAGGTCATATTCATCTTCCTCTGTCTGACTTTTAACAAACTATAAAGTGCCCAACACCATCGAAGGTTAACCTCTGTGTCTTTCTGCCTTAAATATACGACAGAAAAATAAAACCAAGGCTTCTGAGTTCCTTGCTGGTTTTTCTGGTGGGGCTCCATTTTGGAACGCTTTTGTTTAAGTAAAAAAAAAAAAAAAAAAAAAAAAACACAAAAAAACGAGAGTTGGTTGAGGGAAAGGGCCGAAGGAGGCAGGTAAACAGTAGGATACTGGGCGCATAACCGCAGAGCCCCACGGTGCAGGAGTGACCAAACTTTAAGAGTCACAGAGGCGTGAGCCCCTCTCCATCCTTCCGGACCCCTGGTTGCCATCCCCCCTCCCCCCTCCGCTTACCTCACTGGTGTTGGCAGGTTCCCCCAGCTCTCTCGGGGTCCAGCTCCTCCACATCCTCCACGGCAGCTTTTATGCCTCCCGAGGAGAAAGGAGGCGGGCAGGGCAGGGGAGAGGGAGGGAGTCAGCAATTAGGGGGGAAGACAGGAGAGAGTGCCAAGGCTGGAGGAGGGGTGAGGCTTCGCGGACACCAGGGGCTTTTATGAGCTGAGCTCAGAACGGGGTGCTTCCCGCAGGGAAGTGTTTCTGTGCCTCACCTCAGTTTCCCCCGCAGACCCTCTAATCCGATGTGTACATGACCCTTCCTCCTCCCCTCCTGCCCCTCTCAGGTGTGATTTGCGCTTCAAGCTCTGTGTTTACTCGAGCAATCCCCCCGGCCTGGATCTGCCCAGGCCAGGCCTGTCTGGGCCCCTGCACCCCACCTCTACCCACGACCCCACAGCACTGGGCTCCCTTCAGTCCCTCCTGCTCGTCTGCTTCTCCCTTGTATCATGCACCTTGTCCGTGTGTTTCCTTCATTGTTATGCGTTCCCCCCCCCCCCCTGGAAAATAGGCTTGGTGAGGGGTGGGAAGGCGCCTTGCTCACTGGGGGGCATCTGCCCACAGGCTTTCTTTCTTTTTTCTTTCTTTCTTTCTTTTTTTTTTGCTCATCATGACTTGGGGGTTACTTCTGTGTGATCTCCCTCTCTGTTTCTGTTCTTTTTTTAAACCTGTCTTTTTGTTTCTCTCCCTCTTTGCCCCAGAGATCAGCAGGTTTCCAGGGGAAGGAGCCCTGGCATCAGGGAAGGGCATGCACCCCTGGCTTTGCCCTCTGCCCCCTGGAAGTCCTGGTCCTCACCAGACACGGTTTCCCCATCTGTACCATGCAGAGCTGGGGTCCATCGGTACCTTCTTTCCATCTCACATCAACACCCCCCCCCCCCCCCACAGAAGGGACCTTCCTCATCTCAGTTATAAAATGAAGTCCCTGGGGGACGCCGGGGTGGCTCATTCGGTTGAGCCTCCGACTTCAGCTCAGGTCATGGTTTGTGAGTTTGAGCCCCACGTCCAGCTCTGTGCTGACAGCTCAGAGCCTGGAGCCTGCTTTGGACTCTGTGTCTCCCTCTCTCTCTGCCCCTGCCCCACTCACGCTCTGTCTCCCTCTCTCTCAAAAATAAAAATGAACCTTAAAAAAAAAAGAACGTTAAAAATAAATAAATAAAATGAAAACCCTGGACCATGGGTAGAATGAGAGCAAGAAAGAGGACCACTGGACCACATGGACTGTTTGGTCCCATTTTCATTTCCGGGCATCCAGGCATCCGTGGGTCTCTTCTGGAGGAGGAGGGGAGGAAGTGACAGGAAGGTGTAAATGGCTTTGCTGGGAAAGAGGGTGAAGAAGGAGGGGTGTTGCTCACAGAGGAGGGAGAGAAAGACAGACGTTGCTGGAAACCCAGACGTGGTTACCTGGAGACCGATGAAGAGTCAGAGGACAGAGACCTCGCTTCCTCATTAACCGGGTCTGGAGAAATAAATGGAGTCCAAATCTCATGCAAAACAAAACCAAGGTGTGTGGGAGGAATGTCACTTTCTTTGCACTTCTGCGGCTGAGCCTGCTGTCGCGAGTCTGCACCCCTCTTAGCAACTTGGAAACGTGGGCACTGCAGTTTCCCGTTCGACCTTTCTTTGCTGCTATTGGTGATGAGTCTGCTGGGTTTTATCTGAACATCCACAGCCTCGCTAAGTGTCCCAGTGCTGTGGAGAATGCTAACACATGCCTGCCCCTCGCAGGTGACGGGAGACTGGGGTCGAAACTTATCCTTCCTTCCAAAGATGGGTATTGGGTGCCTAACTGTACTCTGTCCCTGCCCACAACCCAGTGAGCCAATGACCCAATTATTCCGGCTAGCAAAAGCAGAAAAGATACTTGCTGGAGCTTCTGGGAACAAAACAAAACAAAAAAAATCTTCCTTTTTTAATGTTTTA